GGAGGATCGTAAAAAATAATCTCGGATATACTTCCTCCCGTTTTTTGTAAGCTGGAGAATTCCTTTCTTATTTGGACGTCCTTGTTCGTCCGTCCCCCAAACAAATCCACTTTTGAGCCATCCCCAAATCTGGAGGCAGTCTTGCCTATTTGGAAAAAGACTGGGAAAGTTGGGCAGGTCCCATCCTCTACCGGTACTGTAGATGATGCAGCAATCAATCAAAATTGGTTTGGATACCATATCTACTTCCGGGTCTCCTTCTTCTTGACAGGCAATTCAAGAATTCCCAATTCGGAGGCACGAATTTCAAGAATTCCCAATTGAAGTCCACGCCCAAACACCAGTACCGGTAATGGATAATGGTAATGGATCTTCAAGTCTATATTGGTCTACCGTTCGCTTACGCTGCTGGGATATGTGGTCAAGATAAAACCCAGCCAAGCCATCTGTGTTCATACTGGGAATTGTTACAGCCGATGCTGTGGATACTTGACTACCATTGGAATATTGTGTGTCTTGAGATTCTGGCATCTCTTGGTCAGACGTGAGATCGGACGTGATATCAACCTTCGTCCGGAGGATCTCTGGGTGCACAAGGCATCCTCGATTGAGTTTTGGCGCAGGCTCTCTTGTTGTTCTCAATATGACCAAATGATTTGTCCCAACCGCTGGTGACAAGTGGGACGACATCTTTCCTTGAGATTGCAGCACGTTGACCTTTTGCCATCCGCATTTGGAGAACTTCCCTTTTGGCCTTGACAAGGTGTGCCTTCATATTTCCATTTTGAGCATTTGAATCACCGACTTGCCAAAATCCAGTTCCATTCGGAAGTCCAAATAAAACAATCCACCGGTGAGCCTTATTAAATACGTAGTTGAGGAACTTAGCGGAAAGTCTCGATCCATGGGCGTCAACTAGAATCACTGGGTCGGGTTTTCCGTTGCCTCTGGGGAAGACATTGAGTTCATCAAGCCTGTCCTCGACCAAGGTTAAAATCTCAGGTGTAATGCCACCACTAGAAGAGTGGACGACCAGGGGCGGGATGTCAATACCATTGAAGTTCACAGTTGGCCCCCCGCAGAAGAATTTATCTGGCCCTGTGTTCCCCTTGATGTCATTCTTGTCACCCACCCAGTGAGCACCCTCGTTGTGGCCAAGATATTCGGCAGTACTCAGGTCCGTCTCTTTTTGGATGATGGTCACACACATAACAGGTTTCCCGGTTGCTGTCGTGACACCCAAGCCAGTGAAATGACAGTCTCCGTTGAAAGCAGTATTCCTGCATCGCTCTCCTTTTCGGACGTGGAATTTCGAATTGCCAGAGTTCTTGTCCTTTGTGGTGTTTGTATTACTTCCCATTTCATCAAACATGAGGATTCTATCGGGAATGTGTCAAATAGTATTCGACTCGATGGCCATATGCTTCCTTCTCAGACACAACATTGCCATGAAGATCCTGCCATTGCGGAGTTGGTAGTTCTTTGGCATGGCCAGCTTCTTTCAATCTCTTGTAAATCATGCCGAACATATCTGACATGTTTCCGTACTTGCACCAGGATGCTCTGCGCTCATCATGATTGATTGCCTTTGCAGTTGCTATCTCTGGATTTCGTTGCCTGAAGCCCTGGTACCATCCGGGTCCAAGGTTGGCCGATGTAGGGCGTTCTTTGGTCTCCTTGAAACGTTTACGTATTGTTGGGCAGAAGCGAATTTGCCAGTCTATGATATCCTTCTCGATGGGTTGGCCTTTGATGAGGTCATTTGCAAGGTCAATTATCTCCGACGTATCCAGTGGTCTTCCGCACCTGTTGGATTCACATGCAATCTCCACTACCGTCCGTTCAACCGCCTCGGGCACAGGACTCTTGGGTCCCCGTTTTGGATTGACCACATGGATTTTCTTCTTCAGTCGCGTCCTGATGGTTTCCTTGCTCGGATTCCACATGGGAGGGAGCTTGAATTTGGATCTTGCTGACGTTATGAGGTGATCAATCGTGCCTATACAAAGCAGTTTAGGTGAGTATCTGCGCATTGTATACTGAGAGAAGAATCGATGAATTCATTGCTTACTTACCACTTTTCATTTTCTTCGGATTCCGGTCTTTGCTCTCCTTGCACTTCATGGTGACCCAGTGAAGAGCTTCCATTTCTTGTTGTGTCCTTTCCAACTTTGCGGCGTCTGTGGATCCTTTCTTTCTTCCCGCCTTTTCTGCTGAATTTAAATCTCCTTCTGCTGCATTCGCGAGCACAGAGCCTTCAGAACTTCCGGCAGAATTTTCGGTTGAATTTGTAGCTGCTGCAGCTTCTTTCCTTTGCTTCTTAAGCGCTCTCCAACGATTGTTAAAGTTATCCCTGGTAACATAAGGGTATTCTTCTTGGCTTGCTTCTACAATCCGCGCAATGTCACCACGTCGCTTATTCGGATTTTGTTCATGAGTTGTGATCAGCTCGTCAAGAACAGCATTCCGAAGTTTCTTATTCATTGGACATGAGCCGGGCTTGGCGGAGGTCACATTGCGATTGGAACGCGCCATGGTGAAATTGTGAGACCATGTCACAGATCTAATTGCAGCTAGTTTCGGAGTACATGGCAACTCCATTTTGGAGTCAAACTGGGAGTGGCGTCTGTAACATAAAAGCCTAGATTACTCTATAAATGGACATCACGGGTTGACATATCGGAGGCTTTCCAACTGAGTCTCTTATGGAAAACGCGCCCTTGCAAAAAGGAGAACGCACGGGTCCATCTTCTTTTCATTGAGCGATTTGTCTTCTCGGCTGCAGTAATTATAGAAGCGCTTTCTCCTCTGTGAATTCGAATTGTGGTATTGACCGTGGACATGAGGACCCATTTTCTCAGATTGCTTCGCCATCACTTTCTTAAAGAGTTCCGCGAATCTGCAATCTCCTTTGCACTTGCAACGTCCCGTTTTCTTAGTTTTCGGAAGTCGTGCTTTCTCCTTCTTCACCTTGGCTAGTGTCGACTTTGCTTTCAAAGGCGGCTTTTTGGCGCCGGTCCCCAGCAAGGAATCAGTGAGGATCTTCTTGGCCTTCGGCTTTCGTTCCTCGAAAGCGTTGGGCTCATTCTTTACTTTCATGTCAATTTCCATGCTCGTAGCTTCCAATCCATGGCCTTTCTCTGTTTTGACGATTGGTCCTGGCCCCTTTGCTCCAGGCTCATGCTTAATTTTCACGCTCTTCTGTTCTTCCGTTGCACTATTTTCGTGGCTTTCTTTCTCCATCGCAGACATCTTCTACCTCCAAATGAAATTGCCTTATTTCTGTAGCAGCATTTCATATTGCAGCAACATTATCCTTTACAGACAGTCTGTCCAAAGAAACAGTTCCTGAATACTCAACGTCAATAAGAAGGGAAGCACAGCTACTTGGCCCCCAATGTCTGGGGTTAACCCTAACCCTAACCCTCTCCTTGAAGGCCTTCTCGTCCACGGCTGGGCTGACCTCCAGCAACAATTCTACCGCTCTCGCGGTAGTCGCCGATCCGGTAACCTTTGGGCTGCCAATCTATCTTGACAGCTCATCCTTATCGGTCAAGGCATGTGGAAGCATTGCAATGATGTCTTTCATTCCGACGACAACATCGTCAACCAACAGCGCGCGACTGCTCTTGAATTTGATTTGGATCTCATTGCGGATCTGTCAGATTTTGCCGCCAAGTGTAGTTCGTCGTATGTGGAAATGGTACGAGGAAAAAACGTGCTGGCTTGTCTTGGCGATGATCAGTGTGTAAATATCATTTTTATCGAAGTTGCCTTGTGTTCCGTTGGAAGATTGATTATAAGTCGAGGAGGATATGCCCTTCAACAGAACTGGTGAATACATGTTATTGTAGGTAACTCCCATTGGAAGGTTCCAGTGGCATGCAACGGTCAAATTCCGTGATTTGAACGAGTTCTGCTGGAAATTACACACAAACAGGTCTTAATTCGGTGGACAGGTCTCCAACAATTAAAATCTTGTACAATAAGTACTGGTATATGAAAAATGTACCAATTTTTGTACCTCAGTAGGAGTTTGATGTCATTTTCTTTACGGCGTTTTTTGTGTACAAAACTCCCGGTACAAAAATTGGTACATTTTTACATACGACAAGTTTAAAGTAGGGGAACCTGTTGAATCCTATGAAGCGTGCGGTTGTGAGGATATAGGTCCGAGCAGTCGTCCAGTAACTTATGCCACTAAAGTACTCTCTTAGGCTTTATCATTGAAAACAAAATGCATGTCATCCTACAATTTGAGGGTACCTGGTACCCAACTTTTGAGTCAGAATAATATAATCATTGGCACAATAAGCCACATTGAATAGGAAGAGAAAGAGGATGGCTTCTTATCACTACTTTGGCAACGAACGAGAAAGGATTCCAAGAGAAACGTCGGAGTTAGTTGTTCATCCACTTGTTCG